CCCCCCCCCCTTCGATTTCTGAAAAAAAAAATCGAACCAAGGTCTCCTTTTTAAATAAGAATTTTGACGAGGGGGGGGGGTGAGTATGGGCTTTGCATCTGCAGACCCCTCCCCCCTTCAAATGATCCTGAGTCCGCCCCTGCAATATGTGGGCTGCTGGAGACGGCAGAAGGACGCTGATATTAGGGACGAGTTTCCAGACCATCCAGAGAACTCTCAAACTGGTGAAAACATATTTGTTTACTTCAAATCGTCCAGAATATACTGACGGCTGGCCACAATCCCCCGCCATGCCTTCCCAGATCTACAAGGTAGGCATGTAAGGTGGTGGGGGGGGGGGGAACAAATAGGGATTGTATATGTATATGTATATATACATGTATATAGTGGGGGCATTTACTAGCCAACTATCCTGAATACTTTCCTAAATATTACATTTGGTGGAAGATCCATTTTCGGACAGGTAAGGTAGCGCATTTAAATTTTATTTGCCGGAATTGCATGGTATTTGAGTCTTTTTACTCTCAATAGACAAAAAGTGCCAGCGAAATGTTGTTTGTCACTCTCCAGTTACTGCTGTGAATGTAGAAAGCAATGTGGCCTGAGCTTACACATCAAGAGCACGGTGAAAACATATATCTAGGAGGGAGCGTGTGGCTTTCAACAGAACTGATGCTGGGTATATCGTCTATAGAGTTGAGAAAATGGTTAAGACAGTAGAATCCCCAGCCGAAAGCTCCCACCCATAACACTAATGAGCAGGAGCAAAACAAAGAGTGGTCTTTGAAAACTTTGATACGAAACATTTGAATCGTAATAAAATTCGAGCCATATAGCTTATACTGTAAACATTGCCCCCCCCTTTTACGCCGATGCCACGAAATTTATATTTATAAACTTTTTTTCTTTTGTAAATACTCCTTCTCTTAGGTAACTTAATTCAACAACCCTTAATGTGTCACTTGTCAGATCTCAAGCAGAAAGGCGCGCGAAGCAGTCTATTCTTCTTCTTTAGAGGTTGTGCCCATAGGCCGTCTCAGGAAAGAACTTAAACCCGAAAATTTGTCTAATCCTAAGACGTCTAACTTAAGTCTATTTTGACATGGATAAATCAGTAGTACATTTATTAAACTAATATTGAGAATTTGCACGGTTTTAATCAGAAAGGCATGGTTATATCGGTGTATTTTTTTATTTTATTCAGGTGGACTACATGTACTGTGGATTTATCTTGACCCAAAGTAGACCGCTTGAGCGTGGTCTGGGCGTCCGGCGTGGTCTGGCTTGCCTTGTGCTTTCTCTGGTTTTCCTCCAAACTGGTCACCAGAGCCGGGCTCGTTAGTTGGGAGTGGACAATGTGCCCTTTGCAAGGTGCGGTCCTTGCAGTACGCTTGGAACAGGTAGCATCTGGAAGAAAAAGATATAGTGAGTGCACTGTTATCATGCCTTGTCCAGCTACTAATCTATTAGACGAAGCCAATAAGGACTTACACGAAAACAATGCAGTTGATATAGCTCTCCATCTTCTTAATTAATCAAGATGGCGTAGGGGGAAGGGGTTGAGGTAGGGAAGGGGTAACAATTATGGAACAACATCTCTGATGAACAGGTTTCGTGCCTTTTTACTGTCAAAGAAAACTGACTGTTCCATAAACATCTTACCAAAACTAGAACCACGACATCATTTTATCTAAAAAACTTTTAATTTGACTTGCATTTGGATTAGGAAAGTTGTCAAAAAAAAAAAAAAAAAAAAAAAAAAAAAAAAAACAGCCTCTTTTACAGAGACAAAGAAATGCAAATTAAATAAATGTATGGTGTGCATGATACTATGTCTCACCTGTTGGGGTACTCATTGCCCTTGTCGTCACAGACAACGTGCTCCTTCAAGAGAGAGCAGTCCACTGTTTCTGCCTGCTTGCACTCCTCGTCCACGCGGCTGCTGGGGCGGTCACGGGTGACCATGCGGCACTTCTTGGGGGTCAGCTCAGGGTCGGCGCAGCGGGCTTTTTCGAACTCGCATCTGTAAAGGGATACTGATTGCTGTTTTCATTCGTTATATGAAGCATTTTGGATCACTTAATCTTATGTCTTGTGTGCGTTCATAACGGACGTTAGTCAATCAAGAATTAAAGACAGTGGTGATGGAAGTTGCGCTACATTTCTGCCATGGAAAAAATTAATGAATTTTGGACTTGTAATTTACAAGAAGACACACAGTAACTTGGATAATTGTGATGAATTAAAAAATTAAAAATAAACAGCGGATTGTTAGACAGATATATCAGTTGATGGATTGATGAATTAATAAAAAGTGATAGCCATCTCACGCACCTGTTGGAGTACTTATTGCCCTTGCTGTCACAGTAGGTTCCCTTGTGGTTCCAGCGTGCGATAACAGAGCAGTCCATGTCCTTGACCTCCTCGCACTTGTCGTCTGGCTTTTCCGGCTCACCAGAACCTGCCAAGGTCTCGACATCGGGCTTCATTTTGTCAGGGCGGTCGCAACGCGTCAGCTTCAGATCTGGGTTGTCGCAGTGCGCCTTGAAGAACTCGCACCTGAACAAAAAAAGAGAAAATCATGTTTCAATCTTTAAAAACCTAGCTCAGCTCACACTTGTGAAGTTCCGACCTCGTGAGAGCGTTGAATTATGCATATGCATCTGATGGGTGTTACATCTATCTGTGAGGCCAATGGCTGAATTTTTTTTTTTTTTTTTTTTTTTTTTTTTTTTTTTTTTTATCCAGCCAATTTGCATTTGTGAACTTTTGGGTTAAGAAAAAAATGTACGTTATTTTTAATGAATCATACTAGGCTGAATAAAAAACAAAATAATTACCAGACTTATATTTCTGATAAATTTAACCCTGGCAAGGACGTACATGATTCTTTGCCAAAGGGGAGTAACGTGCAGTCTGCTGGAGAGGATGCTTTGCCTAAACATTTTAAAATCGCTGGCTGATGACCACAAAACGGTAAAAAGTCTTACCTGTTGGCGTAGGTGTTCCCTTGGACGTCACACAACTTCCTGACGTGGTTCCACGGCGCCATGACTTGGGCGCAGTCCAGGGCTTTTAGTTGCTTGCATTTGTCATCGTCCTTATCATCCCCAGAACTCTGAGGCTCGATGCGCCAATTGGGGTCGGCGGCGACAGCTAAAAGAATGGGAAAATTGACCAAACAAATTTAAAATGGC